ATCAGCATGCATTGAATAATCCCATGTTGTAGCGCAAAAAAAAAAAATGTAAACGTTTGTGCGACCAGCTGAGAAAAAGTTAGTTGCAAAAGAGCGACCAGTGGGAAGAATGAGTCTGGAGCCCTGATATGCATTATACAGAGGCAAGAGGAAAATAAAAAATACCATCGAAAGACCGTAAGTTCCCCTCAGACATACATTCATATAAACTCCTACCCCTAACTGAATCGCGATTTGTTTAGCATCTCAACCGATTTGAATCGTCACATATTTAAATCGATTTTCAACCGGCTCGCGGTTAATCGTTACATCCCTATAGCGCTGATGCTTGATTCAGATTCACCCATAGAGTGTGTGCTTGAATCGTTGTGGGTTTGTTTAGATTAATTTGGGCTGTTACTGTTGTGATTATGACATTCACTCTGTGTTGTCAGGTGAAGTATTTTAAGCACATGTTGAATTGACTGTTCTCTTCTCGCGTCTCTCCACAGAACGAGGGGTCTGCCTCCCCACTGTGTCGCTATGGATACTTTTTGTTTATATCGAGGCAGCTATCAGATTTAAAGATTTGAAACACTTCCACGTGGACTTGTGTCGTCCGTTTGCAGCGCACTGGTATGTCATTTTCCACAATCCTCGCTTACATTGAGTCAAACACTGGCACTGATTGTGAGCAAGTTTCAGCTTGATCTGTCCGCTTTCCTCTAAACCAGTGATCGCGAAATCCACTTTCCTGCAGAGTTTAGCTCCAACCCTATAATTAAACAAACCTACCTGTGTTTTTCTAATGATCCTGAAGACATTGATTAGCAAACTCAGGTGTGTTTGATTAGGGTAGATCTAAACTCTGCAGGAAAGTGGATCTCGCCAGCCAGATTTGATGATCACTGCTCTAAACCATTTCGGAGAGTGTTAGTCATGCTTTTAGTACTGTAAGTGACGATATGTGACCTGCTTCACTACTGCTGTAAGCAGATCGTCTGGGAGCTGAGGTTACATCAGTAATTGTCCAGGGACTGTGTTTGTTATGATCAGCAGTAGTGATAAAATATTAGTTGGCGCTTCTCTCATGGTGCCTTTTTACTGTGTCTATTTCTTGCACACATTGCGGATAAACTACAACAGGTAAACATGTCAACAGTGTGGACACACTTCATTGTGACCAAAAATTATTAAAAACAATGGAAAATTGTGTAAAACGTGCAGAGTTTCCATAAGAGTTATCACCTTTGAACATGAAACCCCAAAGAGCATACAGAGTTCAGTTAACCAATTACCCAAATATAATTAACAAAAACTTTAGTTTTTGGGCTAAATGAAATTAATATTTTGATTAAATATTAATTTTGGTGCATCACTAATCAGAAGACTAAATACCATCAAACCCAAACCTATCACATTTACTAGTCATTGTTCAATCATATAGCAGTACACAGGAATAATCCACAACATTTGAAGTGGTGCAGAAAACAATGCCTCAAGTTTTTCCCATGAAATTGTAGAGCAGGTTACTTGGACCAAAATATGAGGTTACAGTTCTTACTAGGGCTGGGCGATATACGATATTATCGTATATCGACGATGTCTCATAAGTATCCCGATTTCGA